TAAAAAAATTGTCTACAGAGTGGTGAGAGGTGGGCAGTGGTGGGAGTCAGCACGTTTCAGATGGTGGTCTCATGGTTATTTACGTATGATGGTGGTGGTGTAGGGAAAAACAGCGAGTTGGCTGTTCGACTGACACTCAGAAGTTTGGGATGAATCTTGTGTGCCCGATTTGATGTGGTGGTCGGGTCAAATGGAGTAAGGAACCGAGGTTTTTTGAAGTAAGGTTTAGTTTCTTTTTTTTATTTTTCTCATTCATTCTTTTTTTCACTCAATCTATCAAATTATTCTTCCATTAATTGACGTTAATTCATTCTATTCATTCCTTTAGCTAATTATTTAATCATTCAGTTAATCATTTATTCGTTCGTTCCTTTGTTCCTTGATTTACTACTAAGCTAATAAAAATAACTTTTCTACAGAATGATAAGTGGTGGGCTGTGGTGGGCGTCAGTACGTTTCAGATGATGGTCTCATGATGATCGTTCCGATGACATTTTGAAGAAAACAACAACGACGTTTTTTGAAGTATGGCTTAGTTTCTTTTTTTATTTTCTCATTCATTCATTCATTCATTTTATCACTATCTTTCAAATTATTCCTCCATTAATTAATTGATTCATTCTATTCATTCACTAAATCATTGATTGATTAATTAATTAGTTAATTAATTCATTCAACCAATCATTCAGTTAATCATTTATTTGTTCGTTCCTTTGTTCCTTGATTTACTACTTCACTAATTAAAAAAAACTTGTTTACAGAATGATGAGAGGTGGGCAGTGGTGGGCGTCAGCACGTTTCAGATGGTGGTCTCATAATGATGATCGTTCCGATGACAATTCGAAGAAAACAAAAACGACGGTTTTTGAAATATGGTTTAGTTTCTTTTTTATTTTTCTCATTCGTTCATTCATTTTATCACTATCTTTCAAATTATTCCTTCATTAATTGATTCATTGATTCATTGTATTCATTCATTATATCATTAAATAAGATAAGTTGCCTAATTTTTCTAATGGTTTGTTTTTTTTATTTTAATGAATTAATTTTTTTCCAATTTAGTGTTATTCAGTATCCGGTCAAATTCATTCCATCGATGCGTGTCAGATGATGATCGGTGCAATGGAGGTTCGTCCGTAGTGAGTGAAGAAGTTTCTGGAGAGTACA